TATATACAAAACTCTTGATTTTTCAAGCACTGCAAACATTATCAAATAAAGTCATTTTTCAAGTACTTTGCAGGTGTATACGAACATTGTTAGTGGTGATATTTTATTACCACATTTTAGAAAAATATTTCTAATTCTATAAAAATACTGAAATATAATAATCCTATAAGCAAATTCACGTCACATATCTTATATTTAAGCATGTTAATAACTGTATACCTTATTAGATAACCTTGAGTCAAGCTCTTCCATTTGTTCGTCAAGACTTTTCTTCGAATCATTTAAGTTGCTTGAAATTGGCAAATCACCATTTGTTGATACTGTGGTCAAACATTCACTGGACTTAACTTTCATAACAGAAGAAGCACCTGAAAACAGTAACCAAACATTTCTTATAGATATTTGGCACACAGGGATCCAAAATAATACATTTTCAAAGTCAGTTATATCCACTGGCAAACTTTATTAACCATCTGATAGATGGGGTGATAAAACATTTTAGGTAATTTTATTATTCTCCTGTCATATTCTATGAATTTATGTAAAGATAATAATCCTAAGCATATTTCAAAAATTTTCTTTTTTAATCTTTAATAGGTTTAGTCACTTCTGCTTAATTTAGATTTAAACACAATACAAATAATATATATTTACCACACTATTAAATAGAAGCAGTATCTACAAAAGTCTACTCATGTGAATCATCTATGCTACCTATTCATTGATGAAGAATTGAAGAGGAAGAGACATTACCCAAAGAAGAACCAACAGTTGTTGCTGTATGTGATGTGTTGGTGGATAACCCTACAGTACTGGCTGCACGTATATGGCAAGAAGGTCGACCAAGGACTGCATTTTGCAAAACCTCGTTCTTCTCTTGCGAGTGCTGCTGAAGAACTTTGATCATTGCATCTCGTTCTGCAAGTTTTGACTCAAGGTCTTTAATTCTGAAACAAAGATTCAATATTATACTCTCTGTAACTAAGTTTTAGTTTTATACTTAATAACTTAATGTTAAATACACTTATTTAACAGAAATTATAAACAATACTTAAAGACAATGGGAAGAAATTCCTAAAATGTAAAATAAGACAAATATAATGGCTAAATTTTTTTCAAAAACTCCCCTTTCACCCTTTCCAAACTGGAAGGGCATCACTGATCCTCTGACCTTTACCACTCTCACAGTGGAAATATTTATAAAGCAGATTGCTATGAATTGAATAAACACTTTCTAAAATGTATCTAGTTTCTATTTTAAAAAATACAAAATCTGGTTTAGTAGTTACATTGTTTCTTTTTTGGTAATGCCAATTCTAAAATTTTGTTGCAAGACACTGTTTTGAAAAATACTTCCTTTAATGTTGTTTCAGTAGAACTTTAGGCAGACATAGCAGGTTTAAGAACTTTAATTGACTGAAATTGCCAGTTGAATAAAATGGGAACAATGGTTTGGCTTATATACCAAGACTATTTTACATATTGAGTTGTTTTCAAACTTTTTTGATATTCATTGATATATTTCTTTTCATACTTTATTTTGCTGGCTGAACCAGTTACCAATTCCAGCTATAGATTAAAGTAAACATGGAGAAACTGATAAATATTTATTGCTGAACAGTGAACTCACCTTCCAAGATTATATCATCATTACCTTTGTTAGGCATTGAACAATGATTTTTGTCAACAATAAAATAATACATTATTTTATCTGTGTGTGTTGTTTGATTTGAATAAACCTAACAATATAATAAATAAAAAGGCTGTGTGCCATTCAGATAATTTGTCACATCTTTAATTCCATACTTGCTAAACCTAACAAAACCCATAAAATAACTATAAAAATTTCTCATATCTGTGGTTTGTTCCAAAATGTTGTAAACTTTGCATTAGGATTTTTGTTTACTCCTATGGAAGGTCTAGGCATCTAATATGTTGACAAACTTCAAATCATGGCTACGACCACTTTATTTACTCTATGATGTTGTAGACAGATCATTATCTCTTATATTCAATCATTTTTTAGGCACTGGCTCTGGTTATTTTCAAAGCTGTGATGTCATAAAGGAGTGATAAAACCACTAATAGAAAATGAAAAAAATATATTTCTGAGAGATAGTGACTTCTTAGCAGATATAAAATATTTTGGATGCACAGAAAAATTAAAAAAAATAAATAATGCATCATTTACAGGCAAGACTCCTTGAGGCAGTGCAAAAACTAAAGTTGGATCTTTTTTTAATTTTTGTTAAAACACTAATTATGATATATTTTTGTATAAATACTTGTTGAAACATTTGTTTTTCTTTTATTTAAAATCTGATATTCAGTGTGCACTTTTTGCTTGAAAGGTACTCACTGTCTGTGATAATGTTTTATACTTTACGCATAGCTTTTTGAAAATTCTGTCTGAATATACCCTAAGAAACATAACTGATTCCGAAAAATGTACAAATATAAAGTACTTAGTAATAATCCAAGGTTGGAAAACTTGAAGTTCAGAAGAATGAAACACATGTCCTAGAACTATCATTGTTCAGTTGCACTGCTGTTTCTACACAAAGAAACAGGGATATAGCATAGCACTTTCATAACAACTGGGCCATCCTCCAACACCTGAGGATGATTTCTTTCCCCAGCTACTAGAGTAGTATCAGCTCTTTAAAACAAATTATGTAACATAAGTTAGTAAGAAATTACAGCATAAGTACAAAGCAGTTTAATATGTTATACGACTATCCAACACTTCGAAATGCACAGAAGATCTTCAAAGTGTTTCTGATATTGTGCCTCAAACACTCAAATAATTGAACTAGAGAGCCACATGGCACAGCAAGTCTTTTTTAGATTGATGGCATCTTTTGTTTTGGCATAAAAAACGTTCTCACTCATGAAATATCATTGTTTGATTTGGTATGTTAAATTTTTGTCATCAAAGAGTATACCATTATTACTTACCGTCCTTCCATTTCTGTCGTCTTTCTATGTGCAGCATACAGCTCATCCATTTGCTTGAGTTTCTCTGTTCTGACTAGAGCAATCAACTTTTCACTCTCTTGAGAGGTCCTTTCCAGGGCTGCTATTTTAGCATCTCTACAGTATAGCAAATGGAATAAATTGAAATATTCAACTTTAGAACTGAATACGAAACTAATAATTTTCATTGTTTGTATTAAATACAAAATAAGTTGAGCCAAAACATTTTATACTATTCAGCTAACAACCATTATGATGCACATAACTTGACCTTATTATGAGACATACCCAAATAAATTAGAGCTTCACCCTTTTCTGTATGCCAGTTTTTCTAAAACTTACAAAAAAAAAAATCCCTAACTTTTCCATATTTTCCTTAACTGTTTACACCTTGTCTATAGTTCCAGTTACCTTTTAAAACACAATTATCTAAATATGAAGATATAAAGAAATATTAAAATGATTACTGTCTCTGTACTTGATAAGAGTAGTATCTTTCCCACAGACACATTGAAAATGATCCTTAGAACACCCAGATTTCTAAACTTTTGTGGGAGAGGACCCCTACACCTGGGATGTTGTTAAGCAAAATGCTTCATTATAAGATAATTGCTCATCTTAACAAATAACTGAAACAACTATGCAAAATTTACAACTGTATTTATAGACAATATCCGATTCATTCTTGCAATTTTCATGGTCAACTAAGCTAATGAGTTTACCAGTTACAAATTCTACAAGAAAAGGAATGCTTTTGACAAAATAAAAACAAATTAGCAATATAAATATTTAGACGAGAGAATCTTTTCACTCCACCCCCACATTTCAATTTATATTGTTATTAAAGGAGCTTCTGATACACAATTGAAACTTTAGAATGAAAGTAACTTTTAACAAAACATGACATTAGAACAATCTTCAGAAGCTAGCTACAGAGAACAGTTCAGTATTTGCATGTCTATTTTTTAAAAACATTGTAATGTGAATTTCTTGAAAACTGTGAAAACTTGTATAGTTCTTTAAAAATTATTGTCTTTTTAATAAGCTAATTCTTCATATATAGTATGTGCAGGTATATAACAATACATGTAGATTTAAATGATAGAAAAGTTCACAAACCTATTTACTGTAGAGTACATATCAGACAAAAAACTAAAATTTTGAGAATGGAAGAATATTTCTATACATACATACATGCTGAATTTATTTAGCAGTATTTCTCACAACATTATTATTATAACTCACATAAGCACAAACATATATACATATATATACTGCTTCTCTGAATAAACCTCAGTTTACATTTTTACATTCTATGGGCAAGAGTATCTTATTTACATTGCCCAAATGTCCAGAATAACCAGATTTGATAATTGGATATGCACTGTTACCTTTACACTATCCAGTGAACAAATAAACTGTCTGGCAATTGTGCATAAATTATGCTGAAACTTACATAACACTTCCCATATTACTTGAAGTCCAGATGGCAGTACATCAATAAATACTGCGCAGTGACTTATGTTTATTTATAGTAATTTCTAACATATACAAATAATAAAATAAGGTATTGAACAAATAAAATGATTTTGGACTCTCATTAACTATAATAAAAGGCAACTTTCTTAAAGTGAGACTTATAATCTTCCCCATATGAAGTTACATGAATGAAATTTTATTTTAGATAATACTACTTCTATTGTTACAGCCTTCTGGTTAAAATAAAAAAATAGTGGTATCACTAAGTTTCCTTTTTATTTAAAAGTGATTGTAATGATTGAATTATCTGTGTCATCTTGTTGTCCAGGCACAGATATCTATATTTATTCTGTTAAATCTAATTTCATGCTAACAAGCACCAGTCATTAGTCAATAATTCCACCTACATTTTGATAACAGTGATAAAAATGTCCTAGACATTTCAAAGCTTGCAATTGAAGATTGTCATAGCACATAACACTGAGTTCCCCTAACTTGGAAAACTTTTCTATGTGGAGATATTAGAGCAAAGCTTAAACACTGCTAACAGCTCAAATTTCAAACATATATAAGCAATTCATTTACTGCTGGATTAACAATGGTCACTTGAGAGCCATACGCTGATGTACGTAAATGGGTGTTTTCCTAAAGAATTCGATTATATGAATTACAGGATGATAAATTCAATCAATGGAAATTGTTTTCACATGAAGGATGATCCACTGTTCATCAATTGTCCAATTATACTTGAAGATGCCATTTCGAGGACTTTTCCAAAATTTCAGAAGTAAAATACACATTTTTATATGTTTTCAACACAGCTTCACATACATTGAAGGCCTCAAACACCTTCATAAACCTTGTGCTACATGCCAAAAATTGTACTCAAAGTTGTGTGACCTCACCAGAAAGTTTATTGTGGCTTCTGTATAAATGGTATACTGCATCATACTATGTCATATGCAGCATTTGTAAAAATGGAACTATATTAGACTTATTGTGAAAGACAGTTGCTTTTTTTTCTTTAACCCTACATGAGATAGGTCTTCCTACAGTTATGAGACAAAGGCCATATCATCTCATTTGTAGGCTTACATTCAAAAATTTTTGAACTACTATTTATGAAAGTATTCAATAAGTCTGGTATCAAATTGTAGATTATAATTCAACTTTTAGTATTATACATTAGTTAATCTCTTAATTTCAAAGCAAATATTAAAAAAAAATTCCAAATATCAACTTTTGTGTGTCACATGGTATGTTGAATGCAACATTGGTTCAGATTAGATGTTAGTGGTGTCCAAATCCAAAGTCTATAGTTTCTTACGTATTAGAAACTTAAATTACCAATATTGACAAGTTAGGAAACAAAATAAGAACTTCCTATCATTTCTATTTGCTGAGATATCACTATATTTATTGAATCAAACACAATAGCCCTGTCCACCTTCTTCCATTTTTGCTTGTGTACATCTTCTGCCTATGATGTGTGAATAACCAATCAAAAGCTCGGAATGTCCCCCACATGGTTTTCTGAGCCTTTGCGAAGTATTTATGTGGAAAACCCTTTCTTTCCATGGTAGATTACAAGTGGTAAAACAGTATTAAGCTCAAAAATCATTTTTTTTTTTCAGACCCAAATACAGCTTAGTTACCAAGCCTGATAAATTATAGTGGAATTTTGTGGTATTGATATAGTAATTTATGCTTTTTTTATTTCAAAATGCATATATAAACTTAAAAAAATTATTTTGTTTTAAATTTTCCACATGCAAAATTTGATAAAGCTTAGCAAATTACAGCAAGCAGCAAATAAGTACAAAGTTCGTAACTAGAAGACAATTGTTTTCTATACTTCTTTATTTACTGTTCTATGTTTTAATAAAAACAGCTGAAATTTAAGAACTTATTTGTAAATAGTAATAATGTATATACATATATAATGTACTATAACTAAAATGATACTGTATTTAACAAAATAATGGCCCACTAGAACACAACCAAGACAGGTCACTTTGTAAAGACCCGTTCTATATTATTGAATATGGTAACATGAGTGCCCATGTGCTGTGGCATTCAACTTCTCTAATGTTAGTTAGACACTGCTGAAAGGTCAATAAAATAAAAATAGTAATTTTTTTATATATGTATAATATTATAACACTTAAGCTATTTAGGCTAAACATTAGTGGTTTCGTGTTATAATTTGTAGTAATTCTAGAATGAAAATATGTAATTTATATCTATGGTGGTTTTTATGATGGTTACAAGGTTGGTCAAATTGACTAAGCCCATACAGATACAATAGTGAAAATAACAGTTAAAATATATTTTTTTTCTAAAAAAAGCATTTGATATGAACAAAAACTTTAAGCTTCACAAAGAGACATGCCATATTTGTGGAATATGATGAAGTGGTAACTTTTACCAAAGCTAAAAACCAGTATATTAGTTATTCCTTTGTTACAAACAGTACATTATATAGTAAAGCAGTAACTGAGAGTTTACATTGCAAGGAGAGAGTTACACTAGCTTATACAAAGTAACTGTCCAACAAAATTGTTAATTAACCTACGAAATGGGAGACTTGCATTGTATTTGTAAAATGTATGTTAAGGTATAATCCAAACCATGGGATAAAATTTGATCTGTTTTAAAAATATTACAGTACACAGAAACTACTTTTAACCATGTAAAATAGTGGTCAATACTGAGAAAAAAGCTTCAATTACTGAATATTGCCTTTTTCAGTCTGAAACTTTTTATTGAAAGTATGATGCAAAATAATGAAATAACTGCTGTTAACTCTCGATATAGGCTCAGCTGATTCGACCAAGTTCATGACTCAAAATGACTATCATAACTTCCATCCTATAATTTTTAATATGTTTTGGGTATCTTCATGAAATTTTGCAACTTTCAGTAAATATTACAAGTCTTTTGTACCCAAAAATTCAGTTTTAATAAAGCATTTTTACTAAAGCTTTCTCTATGAATACATGGAGTCAGAGTGATGATTGTTCCAAGTGCATGTTAAGATTAAAAATGCATTTCTTCATCTGAAAATTGTCAAATATCATTTGCATAATTTCTAGAACCTCCTAAATAAATATCAAACGTTTCTTTTTCAGTAAAGCTATATTTTATCTGTTATCTTCTTCACCCTAACTCTATACATATCTGGTCATTCAAAGGGCAGTAAAAAAATGCAAGTATACTGTTATATGCTTTAAGCTATTTAGGATAAAGACTGTAGTCTCCTGTTACAATTTGCAGTCATTCTAGAAAGAAAAAAGGGTAATTTAAATTATTTTTTATGGTGGTCATAAGGTTTCATATATATATATGTGTGTGTGTGTGTGTGTGTGTGTGTGTGAGAGAGAGAGAGAGAGAGACAGTTGCAGATTTTTGATCTCATGACATGTGAGTTGTGAAAGTGACTCCGATGACTTAAGTTATGCTGAAGAAAGTGAGGTGAGAGAAGAATCACCAAGTTCTTTAAGTGGCATACCTGAACATAGCCCTGCACTGAAACATAGCAGAATTCAAAAAATAGTTGAACAAAACATGCAAGACAGGGAAAGCAACAAAGATAAGAAACTTGAAGTAGAGGAAGGAGGAGTAGGATGGATAAACATACTGAAGCAACTTGAAATCAACTGAGTGGGGGAGGATTCCCTTGTCAGTGAAGATGTCAAGTTACCATAACAAGTTGAAGACAGAACCACAGCCAAATTCCTGGAACTGTTCCTACCTCCTACATTGAAATTTTGTCAGAAGTCAAAAACCTATCATGACTTGTGTGTGCATATATCCAAAATCTATCGTGAAGTGAATGAGTTAGTACATTTGAAACAAAAATGATGTGATAATAGTTGAAATGAGCTGTAAAAGTCTTTGAGTTTTGTTCTTAACTAAAAACTTTAAATCCAATGAACTATTAAACATGTTTCTCAGATACTTCTTTACTATGACATAATGTTTCCATTCTATTGACAAACCCAAGAAAATCACTAATTTACAAGTTTCCTATGTTAAACTATTATAATTCCCAAATTCTCTGAAAATTGAAAGTTACATAACCGGTAAAATGGACAAATTCTTCAATTAAACAATGTTCAGCAAAGAGAAGAGTAGGAAACTCAAACCAAAAAAATCTCATTCCTGTTCAAGTAATCTCCCCAAGCTTTCTTTCTTATAGTCACAAGCACATTTATACTTATTTCAAATTTGAATCTCTGCACATTAGCACTTATTTCAAGCTGTCCACATTGTAATTTTTTATGCTTCAAATGCTCAGTATTAAGGTTACTATTTCAATTTGAAGATTACTTTTATAGAATGTGAAAAAATATAAAAGAATTACAATAACTTATTTTCAGCTTGATTTGTAATAAATACGGATAAAGAGGTCCAAAAGAAGAATGTTCTTTAATGCTGATTGCAACTAGAAATTAGATTAAATTTGTTAACTTGAGGCAGTTTATTTTCTGTTCTAAACAATAAAAATTGTTTAATGTATCTGTACCTTCAAATAAAAATCTCAAAATTACTAGAATCACTTAACAGAGATGAAAGGTTGACCGACCATTTGCAATAATTAAGTTCTGAACAACTAGACTTTCAAGATCTACGTATCTACATGACCCAATATTTCCATTTATGAACGTTATATTTTAAGATCTGTGCAAGAACTCAGCTAACAGATGTTTCCGTATATAAAAGGTATTTTTTTTTTTTCCTTCTCACAGTGGAAATGCTTTAACTTAGTATACATTCACTAAATAGTAACTAGTTTCAGCATAAAATAATCCATATAGTTTAAGTTTTTAAAATTTTTGTTGTTGTGACACTGTTTTAACAAGATATTAAGAATACTACCTTTCTTCTTAGGATTAATTCTTTTTATTGTTGATCAGAAAGATCCATTTTGTATAGTCAGTCAATTTCAACTTCCACTGATATTTATTAAGAAATTTCTTTTGATACTTTATTTTCTAAAATGCAGTAGCCACCACTTCTGGCAATAAATTACACAAAAAAACATGGCAAAAAACTAACAAATATTTATTGGTGACCTAAGACCTTTTCCTTTCTCAGGCAAGTTAACAATATTTATTATTTGAGTCATTGGAATATTTTGTTGTTGCCTACTGTACACAATAAATCTAAATAAAGCTTATGTGATGTCTTTAAATAGTAGAAAATTTCCTTATCTCTCAAACAGAAATAAATTAACATAAAAACATCTTCAAGAAACTATAAAAAATTCTCAGCCTTGTAGTTTGTTGCTAAGTCTTCTAAATTTCCCATTAAATTTCTTCGTTCATCTGCAAAATCTCCATAAAACTTTCTCATAAAACACAAAATTTATTTTCACACCACTTTATTCTAATCTACTTAAACAGTTTATAATCTGATCTATCAGATGGAATTTAAACTTTGCCTGTAGATATTTTCAATGCTATGTTTCAAACCACATACTATGACACCATAAAAGGGGGAATGGAAAGGCTGTAATAATAAAACTAGTAATACAGAAGGAAACTCACAAGAGAAACAAAAATATGCCTAATTATATTATCACAAAATTAGTTTTTTGTTGTTGTTTTTATCACTTTTAAACCAATGCGTTAGGATAGGCAAAAATAAAAAACTGTAATAGATATGCTGCAAACAAATTACACTAAATAAATTTTACAAAATGATCATATTAATTCCAAAATATTTTGATTTAAAATTGTGTAAATACAGTTAGATTTAGAAATTTAAGTTGCAAGTGCACACCCGACATCTGCTCTGTAGTCCTGATAGAATTATTCTAAAATTATGCTATTATTGCACTATTATATATAATAATTTTCTTATCAATGACTTAAATCTTTAGAAAAGTATAATAAACCTCAGGGCAATAAACAGTTTCTTTATTTGTTGAATTTCATGCAAAGCTACTCTAGGGCTATCTGCACTAACCAAGCCTAATTTAGAAGTGATAAGACTTGAGAGAAGGCAGCTAGTCAACATCACCAGCTCTTGGGCTAGTCTTTACCAACAAAAAGACGGACTGACTGTCACATGATGACACTCCCAAATCCATTAACCCACTGATTGCAAGTCCAGCTACTTAACCATCAGGCCATGGTAATAACCAGACATTCTTCTAAAATACAATACAAATTCCTTTACTGTCTCATAAAGTTAAGAAATAAAGTACTTACTTTGGTAATGATGCTGCATCTACTGCAATTTGTCGCAATGTGGATTCTTCAAGGTATCGTTGTTGCCACTAAATGAAGAACAAGTTGTTTATTAAAACAATTTACATGACAAGATGTTAATAACTTCCATTAAGAGCCAACTGAGAACTTGAGTTAATTATGGTAAGTAAACTATAATTGCAAAGTACTAAGACGCTTTAGGTGGTATACTCGAGTTCTGCAGAGAGTATGTTGAGAACTGATGGTAATTTTTGGCTGTACTGAGGAATATTTCACAACGAATAAAACTGTTACTATGAGTTTGTTAGTTTTACTCTACATTTACTCACCTCAAAAAATGATTAAAAGTTGAATAAATCCAATATAGTGTTACTAGGAAAACACTGACTTCACAGATTAAAGTGTGATTAACTCATTGCTTCAAAACATGATAGAGTGGATGGTAAGAGAAAAATGCATTAGCCTACAAAAATTAATTATATCAAAGGCTTGATTAGCTTGCTGAAATACAGTGAAAAAGAATAAATAATTCTTAAACATATCAGTATTCCTGAATAAATATAGTTCGACAACAGTTTTATATATATATATATATATATTTTCTTTTTCTGAAAATAATTGATCATAATTATCAAAGGATTTTAACTATCATAAATATGCAATATAATGTCCATGTTAGTTTTTGTGAATAAAGTGATGTAATAAGCATTATTTGAAGAAAATATGAATGACTTATTTTCATACTCACCTCATTCACTTCTGATTCCAACTTTAAAAGTTTTTCTTCATACTCCCTAATTATTCTCTTCAGATCTTCTAATTCAATATTACTTCCATTTAGCTGTGGAGTTGGCTTTCCTTCCTAGCATGTTAAAGTGGTTTCAATAAACTGCCTTTGAGAAATCTTATTTATTTACCAAAAACTAACATAATAAGGAATTCAACAACACTGCATGCAAAAATAAAATCATAAAAAATATGAGCCATAAATAACCTTTTTTCTTCTTAACTTTACCTGAAACAATGTCATTGAAAGTATGAATGCTCGACTTTGTCAATAATCCATTAAGAATTGAATTTATACAATTTTTTTTACATACATTAAAGAAATATTCATACATTCAAAATTTTATCTTGGCAAATCCAGTAAATAGTTTGATGATAAAATGTTTACTATTTTTGTATTAAATGGAAATCAAACCTTGTCATGTTTGAGAATTGTAATTTGTTCTTCTAGCTGCTCCCGAACTTTCTTCTCCATCTGCAACCGACGATCACTTGCTACCTGCAAATTAGCTAGTGCCTTCTGCAGCTGTGCAGCTCTTTCAACATAGACTTGTTTTTTGCGACACTGAAATTTATAAAAAAAGAAAAGAAACACCACTAAGATGTATTACAACTTTCACAATCGTGCACTTTGGATTACAGCGGAAAAAATCATTTTTTTAGCACATAAAAAAGCTTTAGAAAAATTTTTCAACAACTAGATATAAACAAAGTAAGTACTGTGTGACAAATGGAAAAAATCTTCATATGGAGTTACAGATTTTCTATCTCTCTAAAACATCTTTTAAGTTTTTATTTTACAAACATATTAATATCATCAAACCATCAATTTAATGTAGTGGATAAGTAAGTTTTTATTTCATAAAACGTCTATTTATATATTAAAAGTATTTATAGATTAAAATTTATCAACTTCTATTTCTATTTTATTTTACTTTTTCAATGTCAATAAAATTTATTAATAACTCTTGTAAAGATTATTATATATATGTATATGACCATATAACAACTTTTGTGAAGTAATAATAGCTATCACTTGATTATCTGTTTATGTATCTTAAAAACATACTAGTACTTGTCATCCTTTGGTTACCCACATTTGAATATTCAAATTTTGGTAGTTTCACACACCAAACAAAAACAACACTTTAATCTGACACAGTTGTGTGTGT